CTGACCACTGAGTCCCCTCAGGTAGCTGCGTCTGCGTCTGCGTCAGGTCAGCTGTCGGCCCCCTGCTCGTGTCGCTCTCTAGCGCACGAGACCTTCCTCTGGCACCACCGCCTTGGTCACCCGTCAGTGCAGCGCCTTCGTGGCATGCACAAACGGTACCTTGTCTCTGGTCTTCCCCGGGTACTCCCTCCCCTCCCACCCTCGCCTGCTCCTCCCTGTCTTCCCTGTGTCGAGGGGCGGCAGCGCGCCGCTCCTCACTCCTCCTCGTTTCCCCCGACGACTGCTCCCTTGCAGACGCTCCACATGGACGTGTGGGGCCCAGCCCGCGTCCGTGGACAGGGTCAGGAGAGGTACTTCCTGATCGTTGTTGACGACTACTCGCGCTACACCTCGGTCTTCCCCTTGCGCACCAAGGGTGAGGTCCCTGATGTTTTGATCCCTTGGATCCGCGCTTCTCGTCTCCAGCTCAGCGAGCGGTTCCACTCGGACTTTCCTGTCCTGCGTCTGCACTCTGACAGAGGTGGTGAGTTCTCCTCCGACCTCTTGGCAGCCTACTGTGCGGAGCACGGCATCCGCCAGTCGTTCACGCTTCCGGCCTCTCCACAGCAGAATGGGGTTGCTGAGCGCCGCATTGGCTTGGTCATGGAGGTCGCTCGTACCTCCTTGATCCATGCGGCTGCCCCCCACTTTCTGTGGCCGTTTGCGGTCCGATACGCTGCGCATCAGCTCAACCTCTGGCCCCGTGTCTCCGTTCCGGAGACTTTGCTGACACTGCGTTGGACGGGAGAGGTCGGCGATGCGTCGCGTTTTCGGGTCTGGGGATCTCGAGCTTTTGTTCGCGATACGTCCGCGGACAAGCTCTCCTCCCGCGCTGTTCCTTGTGTCTTCCTTGGCTTTGTCCCGGACGCGTCTGGTTGGCAGTTTTACCACGCCACCTCGCGCCGTGTCCTGCCCTCTCAGGACGTCACTTTTGACGAGTCGATGCCCTACTACCGCCTCTTCCCCTACCGCACTGCCCCGCTCCCCCCCCCGCCTCTCTTCCTCGCGCCAGGTGCTGCTGTGGTAGACCCCCTCCCCCCTCAGGGTGCCGCTCCCTCAGGTGTGTCCCAGGTAGACCCGGTTGAGCCTGTCGAGGTAGCTGTCGACTCTCGTCATGCTAGGGGTGCTGAGCCTGAGCGTGCGGAGCCTGGGGGTGCGGAGCCTGGGGGTGCGGAGTCTGGGGGTGCTGAGCCTGGGGGTGCTGAGCCTGCGGGTGCTGAGTCTGGGGGTGCTGAGCCTGGGGGTGCTGAGCCTGAGGGTGCTGAGACTGAGCGTGCTACACCTGGAGGAGCTCTCTCCTCACTGCAGCTACGTGAGTGGTACTTACAGTACTGCAGCCTCAGGAGGGGTGCTTCTGGAGCTAGGAGTGCTGCTGGAGCTGGTGCTCGTGCTTCCCCCCCTAGGCGGGAGCTGCCCTCTCCCCAGCAGCTCCGAGAGTGGTACGCTCGGCGCTGCAGTCTCCGGAGTGGCGCTCCTAGCGTCGCGGACCCTGGTGCTGGAGCTACTAGCGGTGCTGCTGGCGCTGCTGGAGGTGCTGCTGGTGCTGGTGCTGCTGGAGCTGCTGGAGGTGCTACTGCTGCTGGCGGTGCTGCTGGCGCTGCTGGAGGTGCTGCTGGTGCTGGTGCTGCTGGAGCTGCTGGAGGTGCTGCTACTGCTGGCGGTGCTGCTGGCGCTGCTGGAGGTGCTGGGGCTGCTGGAGCTGCTGGAGGTGCTGCTGGTGTTGGTGCTGCTGGAGCTGCTGGAGGTGCTGCTGGTGCAGCTGCTGCTGGAGGTGCTGCTGGTCCTGGAGCTGCTGGAGGCACTGCTGCTGCTGGCGGTGCTGATGGAGCTACTGGAGGTGCTGGTGCTGGAGCTGCTGGAGCCGCTGGTCCTGGAGGTGCTCGTACTGGAGGTACTGGAGCTGCTGGGACTGGGCCTGCTGAGGGGGTTGGAGCTTGAGGTGCTGAGCGGCCGCGGCCGTACTACGTTCCGCTCCTTCAGCAGGTTCTTGGTCTCCCGCCCTCTACTGGTCCTACTCCTCCCCTACTGAGTCCACCGTCTGTCCAGTCGCAGTGACAGTTACAGCCTGCCTCTCCGCTGCCTGCTCCTTCTCCTTACACTGCGCCGACGAGTAGTCTTACGGAGCGTCGTGAGCCTGAGTCTCGTCCTCCGTCGCCTGAGTCTAGTCCTGCGTCTCCTGAGTCTCGTCCAGAGTCGCCTGTCCGCGCTGCCCGCACTGGTCGTCGTGTTCCGCGTGAGCGTCCTCCTCCTGTCCTTGGCACTCACTATATGACCCTGCATCCTTCCACTGCTCCACAGCGTGTCCCTCTGCCGTCTCCTCCTGCGTCCTCTCTTCCTGACGTTGCTGACCCGCCGTCAGACCTTGCTCGTGCTGCCAGTCCTACTGTCGCGCGTCTCCTTGCCACTGTTGTCACTGACCCTTCCTTTGAGTCCTCTGCTGCGTCTGCTCTAGTCGCTGAGCTTGTTGACTTTGCTGCCGCCTGTCGTCTAGACTACGCCGCTAGCCTTGTTGCTGAGTCTGAGTCTGTCTGTCCTCCGTCCGTCGGGGGTGAGTGTGCTCTGGGCACGGCCGTCCTTGAGGACAGACAGGAGGAGTTTGAGTGCTTTGCTGCTGCTTTACCTCATCTCGTGTCCATGCTGATTGCCCCTGAGGGAGACCCGGATGCACCAGACATCCCGACCCCACGCTCCTACGCAGAGGCGATGGAGGGTCTCTACTCCTCTCAGTGGCAGACAGCCATGGATGCAGAGATGGCTTCCTGGAAGTCCACAGGCACCTACGTCGACGAGGTTCGCCCACCTGGGGCGAACATCGTCAGTGGCATGTGGATTTTCAGGGTGAAGCGGCCGCCGGGTTCTCCGTCTGTCTTCAAGGCGCGTTACGTTGCTCGAGGCTTCAGTCAGCGAGAGGGAGTTGACTTCTTCCAGACCTTCTCCCCGACCCCGAAGATGACCACTCTTCGGGTTCTGCTGCACGTCGCTGCTCAGCGTGACTACGAGCTCCACTCTCTTGACTTCAGCACTGCGTTCCTACAGGGCAGCCTGCACGAGGAGATCTGGCTGCGCTGCCCACCTGGCTTCACTGGGTCGTTCCCTCCTGGTACCCAGTGGAGCCTCCGGCGGCCAGTCTACGGTCTCCGCCAGGCACCCCGTGAGTGGTACGACACACTGAGGACTACGCTTGCGGCTCTTCGGTTTGCTCCTTCTACTGCTGACCCGTCGCTGTTTCTACGCACCGACACCACTCTGCCGCCGTTCTACGTTCTCGTGTACGTCGACGACTTGGTCTTTGCTACTGCTGACACTGAGGCACTCGCCCACGTGAAGTCGGAGCTGCAAAAGAGACACACGTGCACAGACCTGGGTGAGCTGACAAGCTATCTTGGCTTGCGGATCACCTGGGACAGAGCACAGCGCACCATCACCTTGACTCAGTCACACATGGTGCAGCAGGTCCTTCAGCGCTTCCGCTTTACGTACTCCTCGCCTCAGCCCACTCCTCTGCCTACCGGTCACTCGCTCTCAGCTCTGCCTTCGGATGAGTCCGTAGAGCCGAGTGGCCCGTATCCAGAGCTTGTGGGCTGCCTCATGTACCTGATGACCTGCACTCGACCTGACCTTGCATACCCTCTTAGCATCCTAGCACGCTATGTCGCTCCTGGCCGTCACCGGAAGGAGCACATGGATGCCGCTAAGAGGGTGTTGCGCTACTTGTGCAGTACGTCGGGCATGGGGCTTGTGCTTGGAGGACGGCGCGACGTTGTCTTCACTGGACACTCAGACGCTTCCTGGGCTGACGACCAGGCTACGCAGCGGTCGTCTCAGGGTTACACCTTCAGCCTTGGCTCTGGCTCTGTTTCCTGGCGTTCTACACGCTCTTCCTCTGTTCTCAGCTCCAGTTGTGAGGTTGAGATCTACGCCACAGCCATGGCTGACCAGGAGCTACGCTGGCTCACCTACCTGCTGTCCGACCTCGGAGAGCGGCCTCGTTCTCCTCCGGTGCTGTACGTCGACAACAAGGCAGCCATTGCCTTGTGTCAGGAGCACAGACTGGAGCACAGAACGAAGCACATCGCTCTGCGCTACTTCCTTGCTCGAGAGCTGCAGCAGCGTGGTCAGCTTCGTCTCTCGTACGTGGCCACTCAGGCCAACACTGCTGATGTGTTCACCAAGGCGCTTCAGCCTTGTGATCATCAGCGTTTCTGTACTGTTCTAGGCCTTGTGCCTACTCTCCCTCACTTGCTCACTTCTTGACTCTGCTTTTACTGTGATCTATATATGTATACCTGCATGCTTACACTTGCTAGGTTGTGATCACTGTACCTCTTGTTCTATTATCAAACTGCATGTGAACTGGTCTTGTGACCACTTGCTTGTGCTCGGAATTTGTGTGGTATCCTTGAGATCCACCCTGAGCTTGTTTTGCTTTGCTTTCTTTACTAGTCTTGTGACCGTCTGGTTGTCTCCCAGTTAGCCTATGGGGGTGTGTCAAACATTATATGCTTATATTGTATAGGCTATAGTGGGTTTAGCCATAGGGGGTACAACAAACTTAGGGTTTGCTACTTGTACCCAACTTTCTGCTAGTTCATTCATTTCTCGTTCTCTCTTAGTTTCTCACACCTAGATCTGTGATCAGACTGACATTACGAGTACGGTGGTACATTTTTTGTGTTCATACAGCGAACATTGTTATAGTCAAGCTATTGTCAGGCAGATTCAAGGCATGCGCTAACCTGGAAATCTCAAGGACGTATGGCACACTCGAGGTCTCAGGGGTCATTAGGGGTACAGCCTAGCGAAATGGGTCTCTCAACGCGCTACGAGAAGTTTTTCAAGACTATATCTACCCCAACAAAGGGAAACCCAGGCACAAAGCTACAAGGGAACGTTCCGTGCTCAGCTCGGCTTCAGTTGTTACAGCCATCACAAGGCTTTTCCTGCTTCTTCATCATCACACGATGGCTCCCCCGGAGACTTTTGTGCCTGCTGCTACCACTGTGGCTGGCGGAGGCGTCCTGAACAAGAAGGGGTCAGAGCCGGTCACGCCGAGGACTCTTTTCAATGGGGTCCAGGGTCCGTTTAACACGGAGGCGGTTAACGCGCTGTCAGTGAAGACTTCGGCGCTGCGCATCAACGATTCGCAAGAGGAGGGAAAGGACAACAAGGCTACGTCAGGCGCGGATCCAGGGAACCGTCTGACCCCGTCGGCACAGGACAATGCGAAAGGCAAAGAGGCAGTCAAGGACGCGGAGGAGGATGAGGGCTACCTAAGCGATGATCCTGACGAGTGCCATGACCCGGAGGTGATTAACGACATCGCGGCGCACGCGGGCTTCGCCATCACGCTACTCGTACCTTTCAAATGGATTGACGAGGTCTCACGCACGATTGACACGGTCAGCGAGCTGCTCCGCCTGTGGGAGGGACACATGAAGGAAAACGCGAGGTCCACGGCCAAGATTCATAAGCTGTCGCCGGTGTGGCTTTCTAAGGAGCATTTTGGTCGCATTCAAGTGGTGTTTGTCAGCGCTGCGGATGCAAATTTCATGTGGAGCAAGAAGGTGGATCATTTCACGGCGAACAATGTGCGGCTGACGCTCGGCTGGCAGCATCCGGAAAACCAGGAGTACCTGAAGGAGCGCTCGGCGAGACATGATGCCATCGAGGTGCTGCTGAAGAACGTCCCGTCGATCATCTCGCCGGAGATGGTCAGGAAGAGGTTGGTAACAGCGACCCTGCTTAAGCGCAAGCGTACCGCATTCCTAGAGGGAACAGCCTTTCACAGGGTGGTGGATCCGGTGACGAGGTCAGACACGGACAAGATTAAGGGGCTGGTGTACCGCCACCCTGGGGATAAGCATAAGTGGTGGCACAAGGTGACGGACAAGGTCCATGGCACGGACCTGCTCGTCTCCTTCCCTGCACTCACCTGCTCGTTTTGCAACGGCATGCACATGTCCTCCCTCCCCAGGGTCCTGCTCCCTCTGGTGTTTCCCAGGTAGACGCAGTCGAGCCTGTTGAGGTAGCTGTCGACTCTGGTCCTGCGAGGGGTACTGAGCCTGGGGGTGCTGAGGCTGGGGGTGCTGAGCCTGGGGGTGCTGAGACTGGGGGTGCTGAGACTGCGAGTACTGAGACTGGGGGTGCTGAGCCTGGGGGTGCTGAGACTGCGGGTGCTGGGCGTGGGGGTACTGAGACTGGGGGTGCTGAGCCTGGGGTTGCTGAGACTGAGGGTGCTGAGCCTGGGGGTGCTGAGACTGGGGGTGCTGAGCCTGGTGGCGCTCCCTCTTCACAGCAGCTGCGTGAGTGGTACTCTCAGCGTTGCAGCCTCCGGCGAGGGGCTACTGGAGCTGGGGGTTCTGCCGGAGTTGGGGCTGGTGGTGCTGCGGGTACTGTGTCTCGGCCGGAGCCTCCCTCCCCTCAGTGGCTACGTGAGTGGTACGCTCGGCGCTGCAGCCTCCGGAGTGGAGCTCCTAGTTTTGAGGTGCCGCTTGCTGGAGGCCTTGCTGCTGCTGGAGGTCCTGGAGCTGCTGGAGGTGCTGCTGGTGCTACTGGAGGTACTGGAGCTGCTGGAGGTACTGCTGGTGCTGGTCCTGCTGGAGGTGCTGCTGGAGCTGCTGGAGGTGCTGCTGGTGCTAGTCCTGCTGGCGGTGCTGCTGGCGCTGTTGGAGGTACTGGAGCTGCTGGAGCTGCTGGTGGTGCTACTGGTACTGGGGCTGGTGGTGCTGCAGAGTCTGGAGCTGGCGGTGTTGACGCTCGTCCTCCTGCAGGTGCTGGAGCCGACGGTGCAGCTGGAGCTGGTGCTGCTGGAGGTACTGGAGTTGACACTACTGGAGCTGCTAGTGGTGCTGCAGGAGTTGGAGCTGCTGCTGGTGTTTCTGGTTCTGTCTCTGCTGTTTCTGGGGGCACTTCACGGTCGCGGCCGTACTTCGTTCCGCTCCTTCAGCAGGTTCTTGGTCAGCCGCCTCCTCCCGCTCCTGCTCCCTCCGTAGAGTGTCCTCCGCCTGTCCAGTCGTAGTCACAGTTACAGCCTACCTCACCTCTTCCTGGTCCTTCTCCCTACACTGGTCCGACAGGAGGTCTTACGGAGCGTCGTGAGCCTGAGTCTCGTCCTGTGTCGCCTGAGTCTCGTCCTGCGTCGCCTGTTTGTGCTGCTCGCACTGGTCGTCGTGCTCCGCGTGAGCGTCCTCCGCCTGTCCCTGGCACACACTATATGACTCTGCGTCCTTCCACTGCTCCACAGCGTGTCCCTCTGCCGTCTCCTCCTGCGTCCTCTCTTCCTACTCTTGCTGACCCGGAGTCTGACTCCCTTCGTGCTGCTAGTCCTACTGTCACGCGTCTCCTGGCCACTGTTGTCACTGACCCTTCCTTTGAGTCAGCTGCTGCGTCTGCCTTAGTTGCTGAGCTTGTCGACTTTGCTGCTCACTGTCGTCTAGACTACGCTGCGAGTCTTGTTGCTGAGTCTGAGTCTGTCTGTCCTCCGTCCGTCGGGGGTGAGTGTGGTCTTGGCACGGACGTCCTTGAGGACAGGCAGGAGGAGTTTGAGTGCTTTGCCACTGCTGTACCTCATCTTGTGGCCATGCTGCTTGCACCTGAGGGAGACCCGGATGCTCCAGACATCCCGACCCCGCGCTCTTACGCTGAGGCGATCGCGGGTGAGTACTCCTCTCAGTGGCAGACAGCCATGGACGCAGAGATGGCATCCTGGAAGTCCACTGGCACTTACGTTGACGACGTTCCCCCTCCTGGGGCGAACATCGTCAGTGGCATGTGGATTTTCAGGGTGAAGCGGCCGCCAGGTTCTCCGCCTGTCTTCAAGGCTCGTTACGTTGCTCGAGGCTTCAGTCAGCGAGAGGGAGTAGACTTCTTCCAGACCTTCTCCCCTACCCCGAAGATGACCACTCTTCGGGTGCTGCTGCACGTTGCCGCTCAGCGTGACTACGAGCTTCACTGTCTTGACTTCAGCAGAGCTTTCTTGCAGGGCAGCCTGCACGAGGAGATCTGGCTGCGCCGCCCTCCTGGCTTCACTGGGTCGTTTCCTCCTGGTACCCAGTGGAGCCTCCGGCGGCCGGTCTACGGTCTCCGCCAGGCGCCACGTGAGTGGCACGACACACAGAGGACTACACTTGCGGCTCTTGGGTTCGCGCCTTCTACTGCTGACCCGTCGCTGTTTCTGCGCACCGACACTTCACTGCCGCCGTTCTACATCCTCGTGTACGTCGACGACTTGGTCTTTGCCATTGCTGACACTGAGGCTCTCGCCCACGTGAATTCGGAGCTGCAGAAGAGACACACGTGCACAGACCTGGGTGAGCTGACAGGCTATCTTGGCTTGCGGATCACCCGGGACAGAGCACGCCGCACCATCACCCTGACTCAGTCACACATGGTGCAGCAGGTCCTTCAGCGCTTTGGCTTCACCTGGTCCTCGGCACAGGCCACTCCTCTGGCTACAGGTCACTCGCTCTCAGCTCCACCTTCGGACGAGTCCGTAGAGCCGAGTGGTCCTTACCCAGAGCTAGTTGGCTGCCTCATGTACCTGATGACTTGTCCTCGTCCTGACCTCGCGTACCCTCTTGGTCTTCTGGCTCGCTACGTGGCTCCTGGTTGGCACCGACCTGAGCACATGGCTGCTGCTAAGAGGGTACTGCGCTACTTGTGCAGTACATCAGGCATGGGGCTAGTGCTTGGAGGGAGGAGCTCAGTTGTTCTCACTGGGCACTCAGACGCTTCTTGGGTTGACGACCAGGCTACTCAGCGGTCGTCACAGGGTTACACCTTCAGCCTTGGCTCTGGTTCAGTTTCTTGGCGTTCTACTCGCTCGTCTTCAGTTCTCAGCTCCAGTTGTGAGGCTGAGATCTACGCCACAGCCATGGCTGCACAGGAGTTGCGCTGGCTCACCTACCTGCTGACTGACTTGGGAGAGCGGCCTCGTTCTCCTCCAGTGCTGTACGTCGACAACAAGGCTGCCATTGCTTTATGTGAGGAGCATAGAACGAAGCACATCGCTCTGCGTTACTTCCTGGCTCGAGAGCTGCAGCAGCGTGGTCAGCTTCGTCTGCGTTACGTGGCCACTCAGGCCAACACCGCTGATATATTCACCAAGGCACTTCAGTCTGGTGATCATCAGCGCTTCTGCACTATGCTGGGGCTTGTGCCCACTTTTCCTCACTTGCTGTAGGCTTTGCCTGTACTGTGATCTCTATATATATATACCTGCTTGTTTGCTTTGCTAGGTCGAGATCACTGTGTTGTTTGTGTTGCATATATGCCTCTGCATGTGAACTGGCCTTGTGGCCATTTGCTTGTGCTCAGAATGCGTGGTGACGTGATCCACCCTGAGCTTGCTTTGCCTCTCTTGACTGGTCCTGTGACCCGTTGCTCTCCCCCACTTTGCCTATGGGGGTGTGTCAAACATTATATGGGTTACTGTTCTGTAGGCTACAGTCGGTTTAGCCTTAGGGGGTACAATATTCTAGGGTTTCCTACTTGTACTCTCAATCTTGCTAGTCAATTCACTTCTCTCATTATGACAGAAGCACGTTTTTACTAACAGTAAAAACGTAAACAACTCTGACAGTTGTAAACCTGAGAAATTGCCAATCCAGGAGAAATACACAAGTGTTTGTCGTTTCACCTGCCGTTGCTGACTCCGCAAAGGTGTATGATTGCCGAGGAACGTTTCTCCGTGGTTCATTGTGCTTGCTATTTGGGGATCTCCTTCCTTGTACCATAATCTTGTTCTATCAAATTTTCCTTAGTGAGACTATGCTCGAATTCTACTAAGTCATTTAAAACACTCTGTCCAGAATCACTGCCAGAACTCTGACCGTGCGTCACACGCAATTCAGTTCTCCCTTAGAATAGAAGTCTCCGCATGGTGCGGTGAGCGTGGAACGACCCCGCGTTAGAACCTTCAGATTAGACAACATTTCGCTCTATACCTAAGTCGTTGTAGGCCGGCAACCACCTAGACCGCCATGGACGACCAAGGAGTCGATGCAGGAATAGAGGATACTCTGCAGACATTGCTTTTGCGTGCAGCAAACTGGGGTCTTGTCTGACGGTGAGGAGCGACCAGCACTGGCGCGAGGTCGATCGTTGCCTCACCTATCTTGCTGATACGCGCGATACTGCTCTGGAGTTTGGCGGCGGACCCGAGACTCTGACACTGGTCGGCTACGCGGACGCTGACGACGCAGGCGACAAGCAGAATCGCACTAGCACAAGTGGCTACGTTTTCACCTTCGGCGGCGCAGCTGTCTCTTGGACGAGCCAGCGCATTAAGTGCGTGACTCTGTCCTCTACGGAGTCAGAGTACATCGCGGCCACTGAAGCGGCCAAGGAGGCTCGTCGACTGCGATTCCTCCTCGCCGAGTTCCAGCTCCTCGATGCTGGGACACCAACTGTTCTGAACGTGGACAACCAGTCCGCCATCGCGGTCGCTGAAGGTTTGGGGCTGAAGGGCAACCTCAAGCACATGGAGCGACGCTATGCCTGGCTGTAGCAGATGGTGAAGCGCAAGAAGGTTGCGCTAGAATATATTCCAACATCCGAGCAGCCGGCGGACTTCCTCACAAAAGGTCTGCACTTTCCGGCCTTCAACCGGTGCTCTGTCGCGGTCGGCCAGGTTCGCCTTGCCGAAGTCGGCGACGACGACGACGTGCAGCAGTAGGTGCCATGTCCTCTAACATGGCTGGTGCGGTGATCGGCGTGCGGGGGTGTGTACGCCAGAGAAATGTCCCCTTGTATTTTATTAGCTAGGTTCTGGGTAGACCTTGTGTGTGGGTGCCCAAGCGTGAGCTGGGCAGGGGAGTGTCGAGGAGAAAAGGCCCCGCCCTCGCTTGGGCGAAGTCGGCCATGCTTTTTAGAGCACAACGGTGTTCGTTTCGTGGTCATCGGCGACTTCAGGGACTTTTATCTCTGAACGACGGGTCGATTTTCGACGAGATTAATTCGTCAAAATTGAAGTGTTGTTTCTGCTCAACGCAACTGCCCCTCGACG